CCACCTTCCCCACTTTCATAGCCGCTTCAAGACATACCTCTTTGATTAAACTTTTGGTCACCTCCAACACTCTTCAGCTCCAATTCCGAGCTCAGTGGCCCAGCCTGCAAGGTGAAGTGCTTTGAAACTTCCTCCTGACACGAAAGATGCCGTGTACAACAACAATTTGCATTTAGGCAGTGCCCCTCGTGCAGGGTAGTTTTTCAGAGTGCTTGACAGTGGTGGAGCCTGACACAGAGCCGGAGGGCGGTTGCTGTAAGTACTGATGAAGAGGAAGGTCTTTAGATGCGATCTGAAGATGGGGAAGGAGAGGGCAAGGCAGAGGTGTTTGTGGGAGAGAGTTCCAGAGTTTCAGGGAGTAATGGCTGAAAGCGTGGCCGCCGATGGTGAAGGGGAGGGGACGGGGGACAAGCAGGAGGCCGGAGCCACCAAGCGGAGGTGATGAGTAGTGGGTTGGGGAGTAAGCAATTCAGAGAGGTAGGGAGGTATCAGGGCATGAAAGGATTTGAAGATGAGTGTGAGGATCTTAAAATCAATCCATTCGGTGATGGGGAGCCCAGCAAGGACTGGTGTGATGGGGATACAAAGTTTAGTGCAGGTGAGTATTCAGGGGAGGTGCAGTTCTGGATTAACTGGACTTTGTGGATAGGGGGAGAGCAAACTGCATTGTGTCCTTTGATGGAGTGGGATGGGGCAGCTCAATGTATTTCCTCATTCTACTTTTGACTGCCATTTTGTAGGTGAATACCTGTTCCATGAGCTGTATTGCTATGACCTGTACATTCCCTCCGCACCTGAGCCACGGAATGAAAAACAGCAGAAAATCGACGACTTGATGGAGAAGGAGATTGTCAGCCCTCTGGAGAAGGCTGGAATCAACGTATTCCATGGACACCGGGATTACACAGGAGGCATGAACACCCTGGAGAGCTTCTCAAAGCCCTTCCGTTTCGTGCCTATGACACTCCTCCCCATCTTCGAGGATCTGCCTCGCTCCCGGTTCCCCTACCTGCTCCGCAACTCTCTGAGCGAGAAGATTTTGAGAAGGGTTTGCCTTCTGCTGCTCCACTCTGACCAGAACCACATCCCCACTGAAGCCAAGAACTGCTTTTCTTTGAACGCTGTGGGCAATCCCATCAGTTCCTTGCTGCCGAAGCTCAAAGCCACTCTGGTCAAGCTGAAAGCCGAGTTTCCCCTATCAAAGCGCAAGAGGATCTTTGATGAGGAACTGGAGTCAGGTAAGCCAATTGGTTAGCACGCTCACCTCATAAGTGAGAGGATCCGGGTTTGATTCCCATGCAGGGCAAAACAGTGGGCAAGTTTCCTTACTTCACCCTTCTCTGTTTTCCTAGCAGTAAGTAGGAAACCGGTGGTTTAGTCTATTGGTGGATTGTTTTCCAGGGGTAATAATGCTTCAAAAAAAAGAAATTTGGTCACTCAATCCACGATTATTTGTGGAACACTACAGTGTGCAATTATCTGCTGCATTTCGTCCATAAAATAACAGTCAATCCACTTTACATTATATTCTGTTAAGCGCTTTGAGACGTCTCAATGACGTGATAAGGCGGTATAACAAACTTATGGATTATTATTATTATTTATAAGTCTCTTTGCTCAACATTAGGACTTTAAACTCACCAGATTTAAGATCTTAAGCGTTAAGTTTAAGATTTAGGTTGACTCATTCCTCATATGTACAGACCCAAACGAGGGAGATTTTCCACTGTCCGGAATGGAATGCACATGCTCTCCCTGGAGAGATGAACTCTGTTCACCTCTGCCCATGGCACTATTCAAAAAGAGAAGGTGTGTCCTGGATGACAAACTCCAATGTCGGAGGATCCATCCTTTAGAAGAGACTGAGAGTCCTGTTCAAGTGGACCTTAAAGATCTTAAAGATCCCATGGCCAAGAGAGCCACAAGTTACTGGGGGCAGGGAATCCTCCCATTCAGCTCCTGTTAACCCTTCAAGCCAAAGGCCACCCACGGGTAGGGTGGTCCTCGCTGGACAAGCAGCCAGAAAGCTTGCCGGGCAGTGCTCTCAATGGCAAACTATGCAGTTTTAGCTGGTTAGACTCCAGCAGTTACCCCAACACACGCTTTGGGGTCCCAAAGCCTTGGCTCTCAGCAATTTCTAATTCTCCCCAGAATAAGATGAGCAGAGTACATCCTTCAAGGGGAGAGAGTGAGCATTCCATTCCAGACACAGAGAAACTTCCATGTGTAAGTGGCATACCTATGAGGAACTCTAGTCTGGATACTTTTTAATGCAGTGATGGATATGTGCATCACATATCACCTATGCATCACAATCTTTGGCTGACCAAAGATTCTCTTTTCAGTGATGTGATCCAATGAGTGGTTAAACTGAGGTCCAGTCTATCTGTTCAAGTGGATGTTAAAGATCCCATGGCACTATTCAAAAAGAGAAAGGAGTTTCTCTCTCCCAGTGTCCTAGTCGACAAGCCTTCAAATAAAATCAGTCACTCACTCCATGGTTGTTTGTAGGCCACTGGTGTATGCAATTGGCCACCGCGTTTCACCCACAAAATGCACTTTACAGTATATCCTGTGAAGTGCTTTGAGATGTCTCAGTGATGCGATAAGGTGCTATATCAAAATTATGTGTTTAATGAAAGTGACTGGTAGTTTTTTCTGCTATTTCCCTACAGTTGCAACAAACTCAGAAGTCGCAGAGCCAGAGGTTGCCAGCCTTCACGAAGGTTCGTAGCTCCTGTAATATTTTATATTTGCTGTACAGGGAGTCCACAAAAAGTCAGTCCTGTAACAACCCCCATTCCGCCCCACACCCATTACAAAACAGCGATATGAGACTACAGAGAAGCTGAAACAAGCTATTAGAGATGCATTTTGCCTCCTCACTCCAACCATGTTACAGAAGATGACACACTGAACATGGCTTCGGATCATTATCTGCCACTAAAAGGATGGTGCTCACAAATACCAATCCTCTGGACGTCTAAATACAGTTAAACACTTGTACTGCATACAATTAACTACTTCTGAATACAATTATTGTGGAGTCCTGTAGCTTAGTGGTTAGAGCACTCGCCTTGCAAGCAAGAGGACCTGGGTTCGATTCCCGGGCAGGGCAAAATGTTCGGCAAGTTCTCTTACTCCAAATGCTACCACCTACCTAGCAGTAAATAGGAATCCGGTGGTTAGTAGATTGGTGGATCGCATTTTGAGGAGTATTGGTCCCTTCAAAATAAATAAATACATAATATTTTGGTTACTCAATATATTAGTAATAAATACTAATATATTACTATTAGTATAATAATAATAGTTACTCCCTGTGTTTACCATGTGATTATCATTCTGTAATTTAAGGATATTAATGGAAATTCTCTGTGTGTTCCAGGCTTCCATAGGTCAACCGGGAGCAGAAGATCTATTAGGTTCAACACTAAGATTTGGGTGGATTCTACTTCAGTCGAGATGGCTTCAGGTAAGTTGTCTCAAAACAATTGGCAGATCATTCACACCAACATCCTAATATTTTGCAAGCGCTCTCTTCCTGGCAGGAGACATGCTGTCTAACTAATTCCAAAGAACATTGGTTGCAAGAGACACGCCTTTGGGACCTCAGAATGTGCGTTGTGTAACTGCTGGAGTTTAATCAGCTAAACCAGTATAACTTGTTTAGCTATCTACTAGCATTCAATTGAGTGCACTATGTGACTACCCGCTATTTACATAGACTGTACATCACGGAAACAGTCCACTCAGCCCAATTAATCATGACGGTGTTTATACTCCACAAATGTCCTTACTCCCTCCCACACAAGTTCCACATTCTCACTACCATTTGGGTGAAGTAGTTCCTCCTAAATTCTCATTTAGATTCTCCCATTTGCCATTTTATATTTGAGTCCCCTGGGTACAGACTCCCCAGTCAGTGAGAACAGCCTATTTATGTTAACCTTGTGGAACTCTTTCAAACTTTTAAACATCTCTGTTAAGTTCTCTCTTAAACGTCTCTTCTCTAGCGATAAAACCTATCCTGACTATTTTGATAGCAATAACCTCCCAGTCCTGGTGTCACTTTAGTAAACCTACGTTGACTCTTTCCATCATTGCTATATGCTTCATATAGGGTGGAGGCCAGCTAGGGCTTTAGCAAGCAGGCTCAACAGGAGCTGAGTGGGAAGTGTCTCCATTGATAGGTCTGTCCTTCCAAGCCCTGTTGGTGACCAGGCTGGGCTGTGCTGTCATCAGCAGTGTCCTAGAGTACTACGGACCTGCCTGGCTCAGGATCCGGACTGGAGACCTTCACAGGGGGCTGGCTCAATCCTGCCATTCCATTGCCAGCAGTAGGGAGGTACCAGATTCAATCGATTGATGGTGAGACATGTCTGTGTTTATTTCCCAGAACCGGAGGACGCAGAGAGATCTCCCTCCCGGATTCCTCCCCTGCCATGGGAGAAACAAGCCCAGGAGATGCTGAGGTTGAGCGCAGAGGCTGATGAGAGCACACAAAGGTGGGCCATCCACTCGCTGGTGTCCATCCTGAGCAGGAACCTGACCGAGATGGTATGTCAGAACAATCTGGGCTGCTATCACCACCGACTGCGGCAGCTCCTGCAGCGAGATGGGAGCGGGAATCCCGAGCTCCAGCATTCCAAGGAAAAGCTGTGCTGCTGGCTGTTGCTGGTTGTCTACCTGGGCGGTGTCGAGCGGGTGGACCCAGAGCTGAGGAGGGTCTTGAAGCAGATGAAACAACTGAAGCAGCCTCAGCTCAATCAACCCAAGGATTTGAAGCACGTTGAGACGTCCTCCCGACGTAAAAAGCGCTATATCAAATGCAAGGATTATAAGGACACCTTCACGTACCTCGCTCATAAGCACAGCTCACAGCTGAAGCACGCAATCTTCTTCAGGATTCAAAAGAGTTTCTTTGGGACCTTTGGGAGTAACACTCTGTCCCATGCCACGCTGTTACAGAGATGCCAGGATATCCTGAAGAAAGGGGACAGGACATCCAGCGACGGGAGCAGCCAGACCCGAGCCCTAACCGAGCTCCTATCACAGCTGCCCTGGGGAATCCAACACATGTTTCTGTACGCGATCACTGACAAGGTGAGCTTTACTCTGCCTCCAGCTCATACTGCAGCTGAACTGGGAGTGTGGACGGACAGTGCATTCCAACATCTATTTCTGGGAATTCCATGTGTAGGTGGGATGCATGAAATTCTTGGTTTGGTTTGGATACTCCTAAGGATGGTGATGGGCTTCCACATGTGCCAGCTGACCAAAAAAAAAGTGTAAAGAGAGCTTTACTCTGTCTCTAACACAGTAACAGATTGTTTACTCATATCATTTGCCTTACGTTTTCCCCAGATACTCTCATGCAAGGTATTTCCGAACACTCACAAGGTTCTCATTAGGATCTGCACAAAGCTGGGAAAGAAGGACTGGACCATTTACTTTACTGTGGCTGAGCGGGTTACAGAGATTTCACTAGAGAATCCCAGCAAAGGTAGACTAGCCATTACTCACACATATTGTCTTTTCATGTAACAATACATGAGCTACTACTACGACTATAAATAACAATAATCCTTGCATTTGATACAGTGCCTTATCACGTCATTGAGACGTCTCAAAGCACTGCACAGGAGTGTAAAGTGATTGACTGTATTTTGTGGATGAAATGCAGCAGCCAATTGTGCCTGCAAAAATGACCACATTTTTTGGGGGAGGGATTATTACCCCCAGATAACAATCCGCCAATCAACTAACAACCGGGTTCCTAATTACTGTTAGATAAACAGATGCATGTGGAGTAAGGAAACTTGTCAAAGGTTTCGCTCACCAAGGAATCAAACCGGATCCCCTCACTTGAGGGGAGGGAGGAAAGTGGGGGGAGCTATTATCTGCCCGTAAAACAAACATCTCTTACATATAAATCTGTTGCTTCTTGTTGTTGGCTAAGCTGTGCTGAGGGAATGCTTGGATTTCCTCAAGCTGCTGTGGGAGCTTGGAACAGAGCAAGATGGGGGGAAGGGAGCCCAGCAGATCTGCCCGCTGCTCCAGCACCACTTCGAGCATCTGGTTTACCACCGGCACCCACACCTGCGGAGTCTGGCCACCATCAGGCTGCTATCTGGCCTCGGCACTGAGCTGCCAGACCTGGGGGGCTCCACTCTGCCGGTGAGCGCTGAACGGGTGCTTCGTTGTGTCCGCCTACACCTGGGAGGCCGCTTCACCGGGCCACTCGTCCCGGATGCCCCAGGGGCCACCACACACACTTGGGTGCTGCGGGGGTCATTGTCCAGGCCCCCAGGGGCTGTGGCGGTCCACGTTCGCCGGCAGGAGACCCTAAACGACATGTTGGCGACTGATTCCACCGATGCCCATTCCCACGATTTCGAAGCGGTGGCAGAAATTACCATCTTGCTGTGCCGCCCGGGGCTGAGCCAGTGCATGGCCAGGATTTGGGATGCCAACCCATATGGGCCACTGCAGTTCTACACCCTGGAGGACGGGGAGAAACTTCTAGACTTTCTCCATCACTGGGAGAACCGCCTCTCCTTGCACACCATCACCCAGCTCCTGATCTGCATAGCTGACGCCATCAAGTACTGCCACGCTCAGAATATCGTCCACCGGGACATCACCCCAGCAAGCTTCATCACCCACATTGTCAGCACAAATCACAACGTTCCACACAGTGCCCAGGTGAAGCTAGCCAGCTTCCTGATGGCCAGGAAGCTCACTACCAAACCCAGTGAGAGATATTGTACCGTGGAGAACGCCATCACACACTCAGAGCAAGGTAATGCACTCAATTCATCTTTCCGCTCATAACTATCACTCATCACGTTCACTGGCACCAGCCCCCAGCTTGTAAGTTACTTTATTATCGACTCAAAGCCTAGGTAAGCAGGATGCGTCCATCCAGGGAGAGAGTGCACTTTCCATTTTAACAATCTATTTCTGGAATTTCCATGTGTAGATGGGGTGCATGGAATTCTCAGCTTGGTCTTGATACTCTTAAGCTTGGTAACGGGTTTCCGCAGGTGTCTGACACCCAGCTGACCGCCCACCCCCACCCCCCAAAACCTCAAAGCCTCCAACCCACTAACTATATCCACACCAATTTGTTCTACTCCATGTCCTTTTTGTGTATATCAGCCTGGCTCAGTTGGTCACAGTCTCGCATCTGAGTCAGAAGATTGTGCGTTCAAGCCCCATGTCGGGACTTGGAATCACATTGCAGTCACTCACTTCATTGCTGTTTGTGGGGCATTGCTGTGTGCAAACTGGCTGCCATAATTCCCCCACAAAATACACAGTCACTGCACTTTACAGTATATCCTCTGAAGCGTTTTGAGACATCTCGGCAACTTGATAAGGTGCTGTATCAAATGCAAGCATTATTATTATGTGTTTAATGAAAGGGACTCATTGTTTTCTGCTATCTTTCTACAGTCACAACAAACTTAGAAATCACTGAGCCAAAGGTCGCCAGCCTTCACGAAGGTTCGCAGCTCTATGCTTCTCAATGTCAAAATCTTCCCCTGTCAACCAGCTAAAGTTTAAAGCTATACTGCCCCAAACAATGTAGATCACCTAACTGAGAGTAAAGCTCCCTCTATACTTTACGTCCATCGGGCAGATGGTCAGTAACTTAAACAGGACTGTTTTGGAAGGTAAAGCGGTCATCATGTGTACACACAGATACATAGAGTGATATAGCACAGAAAGAGGCTACGCTGTGGCCGGTCTTTAGTGACTGACTTATCACTGGTGTCAATGAACCACATGACAGAAACATACAGAGTCTCTACTCAGTGCACTCTTGGTGGGTTTTGTTCTCGGCAGGTCCGTACGGTGAACATGTGGCCTTGCGATTCAGCGCCCCGGAGTCCTTGGCATCACGTACCTTCTCCCCGTACTCAGATACCTGGATGCTGTCCTGCACCTTCTACTCCATTCTGCTGTACGGGCGGCAGCCATACTGGGAGTTAAACCACATGGACATAGACTCCATAATCCAAGAGGTACCTTCCACACTGTTGCATCACTGATTGCCATTTGGTAGTACAGTAAAACTTGCATAAGTCTGATCGGTATAAATCGTACAATTGCTTAAGTCTGCTCATGGGTTTATATTCTATGCAAGTTTGACATAACTCGTACTTTGCATAAATCATATTAAATATATGGTCCCAATTGATACGATTTATTGAGGTTCACTGTGTTATTCTACCGGGGAGATAATCAGGGTCTTCATGGAGCTGAACTGGCTCCAAGGTGACATAGTTGGCAATGGAATATCAAGAATTGAGTCCATTCTCCGTGACGGTCTCTTGTCCAGTTCCTGAGCCAGGCGGGTCCGGAGTATTCCAGGGCACCACTGATGGCAGCACAGCCCAGCCTGGCTCACCAGCAGAACTTGGAAGAGGCAGACCAGTAACTGGGGACAGGGAGTTATCCCATTCAGCTCTTGTTAACCCTGCAATCCAAAGCCATAACGAGTAAGGTGGTCTGAGCTCGAGTGAGACATGAAGTGAGAAACCTGCCGGACAGTGCTCTATGTGATTTTAGATGGTTAAACTCCAGTTGTTACCCCAATTCTGGGATCGTCAAGCCCTAGCCTTTAGATCACTGCCGTTAGATCATCTTTGGAAAATTTTCACATTTGGTCTTTATATTATGAAGAACTGTGGCGAACTGGCCCCGTTAAACCCCCCCATTAAAAATGTAACCATTGCTATAATTTTGCACAGTGTTTAATTTAAGCTTTCCTGTTTCTGATATTAATATCAATAAATATCCATATTTGGCATTATTTTCCCCATTTTCTCCAAATAGCCGAAAATGAATTCTGGTCTTTAAACTTTTTTTTTAATATTGAAGATATAAATTTGTATTGTGTTTCTTGCAGGTTCTACATGGTCACACACCAATAGAACCCACCTCCTGCCCGCAGAGCTCTATTCTGCCGTCTCTAGCAATCTCCAGCTGGAGCCAGACCGCCGCTCAAGTGCAGAGGATGTGCAACAAAAGATGCTAGATTTTAGAGATCTATTAGGTACGGTGCCTAATCTCTGCTACGTAAACTAATAATAATCCTTGCATTTGACATGGGCTCTGAGACAGCATCCTGCATTAAGGGCACCATATAATAATGATAATAATAATAGCATTTGATATAGCACCTTATCATATTGTTGAGACGTCTCAAAGCTCTTCACAGAATAGACTGTAAAGTCGATTGACTGCATATTTTGTGGGAGAAACATTTGCACACAGCAGTGTCCTACAAATAATCATGGATTGAGGGACCAAATTATTTTTAGGGGGGAGGGATTATTACCTCTGGAAAGAGATCCACCAATGGACTAACAACCAGGTTCCTACTTACGGCTAGGTAAACAGAGGCGTGCGGAGTAAGGAAACTTGCCTGAGGCTTTGTCCTGCCCTACCAAAGTTTTCTTACTCCGCATGTGGAGAAACTCCCTTCTCTTTTCGAACAGTAGCATTGGATCTTTAACGTCCACCTGAACAGGCAGATTGGACCTCGGTTTAACATCTCCAACAATGCAACACTCCCCCAGCATTGCATTGGAGTGCCAGCCTAGATTTATGAGTCCCAATTTGGGGCTTGAACCCACAATGGGTTTAATGTGAGATTCTATGAATAAGTTTCAGAAGTAAGTGGAGCATGCTGTAATGTTCTGTGTATCTCTAAGAACTGGAAATTAATTCTACAATCTTGTGTTTCCAATGTTTCAGTTATGAGAATAGACAAGAGTGTGTACCAAGTAGATTGCAGGTCTCTTCCAACGGCCGATGAGGACATTGAATGGGTAATGTTACGGTTTCCCTGTCTATCTTCCCCTCTCTCGTTACATTGAGTTTCTTTATCTCATAAAAATAACAACAATCCTTATATTTTGTAGAGCTCCTTTCACATTGAGACTATGTCTCAAAGCGCTTCACAAGATATACTGTAAAGTGTAGTGATGGTATTTTTAGGTAAATACAACAGCCAGTTTAGGATCAGCAATGTCCCAATGTCCCAACAGCCATGATGATAATAATAGTATGAATCCTTGCATTTGATATAGCTCCTTATTATGTCTTCGAGACTTCTATAAAGTGAATTAATTGTATATTTTGTGGGCGAAATGCGGCAGCCAATTGCTCCAGTAGTGTCGCAAAGAGTCGTGGATTAAGGAACCTAATGATTATTCTTTTTTTTAAGGAATTATTACCCCTGGAAAAGCGATCCACCAATCGAATAACAACCGGGTTCCTACTTACTGCTAGGGAAACAGAGGAATGTGGAGTAAGGAAACTTGCCCAATATTTCACCCTGCCAGGAATCAAACCCAGGTCTCTCGTTTGTGACCCAAGTGCTCTAACCACTGAGCTACAGAACTCCACATGATGTGAGAGACCAATTTTATCCAGGGCATTGTTGTCCAGGACATCAGAAGAAACTCCATTCTCTTTTCGAATAGTGCCATGGATTTTTAACGTCCACCTGAACAGGCAGATGGGACCTTGGTTAAACATCTCATCCGAAGGGCGGCACATCCAACAATGCAGAGCTCCCCCCTCAGCACTGCATTGGAGTGTCATCGTAGACTGTATGAGTTCCAAATATCAACATGGGGTGTGAATCCACAACCTTGCACCTTAGAGGTGAAAGTGTGACCGACTGAGCCAGGCTGACATACAGTATCAGCTGTAAGAGTCGAGTAGGTTCTACTCCCTGATAAGGTCACTGGGCAAATCGTTAAATTCGGCCTTAATTTTGAAGCCAGTTTTCTGCAGTTCTTAAAAAAGAATGTACAGAAAACTGGCTTCAAAATTAAAAATTTGCCAAATTCTGGCTCAGCTGTATTGCAGACAACAACAACTTGCATTAATATAGTGCCCCTCACATTGAATATTTCGCCCACAAAATACAGTCAAGTCACGTTACAATGCATTTTGTGAATCACTTTGAGACGTCTCATTGATGTTGATAAGACGCTGTATCAAATGCAAGGATTATTATTATAATGTATCTTTATATAGAGCCTCCTTGTATCTGGAGCCCCTTTTATCTAACAAGTTTATTTACTCAACACACCTTTGTTTACCTAACAGTAAGTAGGAACCTACTTAATCGCCGTCCAGCGACATCGACCCAACAAGTCTGTAGGTTATTTCACTGAAATGTACATAAATTATTGACATGTTCTCAATGTAGTGACAGTTATTCTATTACAATGTAAGCTACTGTTTAGCAATAATTAGGAACATAGGAACAGGAGCAGGCCATTCAGCCCCTCGAGCCTGTTCCGCCATTCTATTAGTTCATGGCTGAACTGTACCTAATTAATTTAATTTAATTACGTAACAAATCTAATTAATCTTAATTCTTGTGTTACCTCTCGCCCACAGGGATTTCTGAACAATGAAGGTAATTAGATCTTGCTTCCAGGTTTCACTATTAATTTTATTGTCTGGTGCATTGTGAATGGTTTAGCAGAATCACCTAATACTGAGACGCTCCCTGTGGCTGATTAGTTAAACCACATCCCAGTCCGAGACTGACCTTATCACGCCCATCCTCGCCCAGCTCCCCTGGCTCCCATCCCCCAGAGGATAGAGTTCAAAATCTTCTTCCTTGCTTTCAAATCCCTCCACGGCCTTACTCCTTCCTACTTCTGTGACTTGCTAACTCCATTCCAACCTGTCCGTTACCACCACTCAGCGGGCTCCAGCCGGCTCCATTTCCCCCGCCCTGCCCGTCCCACCATTGGCGGTCAAGCTGGGGGAAGGGAGCCGAAGAGGGTGTGCGGGGGGAAGGGGAGGATAACCAAAATGCTTTGAAATTGAGGAGGGAGGGGCAAGTTGGGATTGAGTTCCAGGTAGCAGAATGGCTAAAAGCACACCTGTCAATGGTGGGACAGATAGTGCGGGGGGCATCAGAAATAGTCTTGAGCCTAAGCCTAGAAGAATTTGGGGGCCTTTGTTCGCTGTTCAGAGGCCCCGGCTGGTATGTGAAAGAGTCAGAGATCCAAACGTTCCCAAGGTCACAGCTTTAAGACTGTCACATTAACCAATTGATAAATTCTGAAGTTGAGTTTTAATTTGAGATCAATATGGCAGTGTGGGCTTGTGGATTCCCCCTCCCCCACGCCCCAAGTGTCCAATGGTGAAGGTAGTTATAGGAAATGTAACTGTGTTATAAAGGACTGGCTTGCATTTCAATCACGACTCACAATTTCTTATCTCTTTAGGGCAAGTAGCCCTACAGGAGACCATGTCGGAGGTCAGTCAAGACATAGTGAAGGATTCCATCATACAGGTAAACTTTCAAACGTGTACATGCAGATAACACTTTCAATTCATTCTCTAATCAGTCCTCGCCACACAGTCACCTATTCATTGAGTTTCTGACTGATCAATGCTCTGATGCTTATTGAGTGATCAATACTCAGAGACTGCCTGGGTGATCAATACTGAGACAATGAGTGATCAATACTGAGACAATGGTGATCAATAATCAGATACACAGACTGAGTGATCAATACTCAGTTACTAACTGATCAATGCTTTGACACTTATTGAGTGATCAATACTCAGACAGCCATGAACTGACTCGTCTCTGGTTCTGTCTCTCCTCACTGTCTTTTACTGGATTTTAATGTGTGTCTTGTTAAATCATATTGATTCTTGATTGGATTCATGCCATCACTGAAACAGATTGTTGCTGTCTTTAGGGCGCTCAGCTCTTTGAGTTGGCTTGTGTGAGAATGAACGAGTGGACAAAACAGACACTGCAGGAACTAAGGAACGATTCAATATTACAGGTGCAAACTATCATATGTCACAACCTGACCACACAATTGGTAAGATTCCAAATCATTGACTATGTTATAATATTAATATAATTCTTGCAATTAATATTTTCATTCATTCACTGAGTGATCAATGAGCCTTTCGCGTCGGGAGGACATCTCAAAGCACTTTGCAAGATACACTGTAAAATGAATATTTTGTGGGCGAATGCGGCAGCCAATTTTGCGCACAAAATGTCCCAGAAACAGCTATGAAGTGAACGACTGATTTTAGTATTCCAACCAAGCCCATTAAACTTCACTCCTGTTTGTCTCCTGTGGGTCTAATCCAGTCTAACCCCACTCCCCTGCTCCAATATTCCTCTTCAAGCATCCACCAACTACAACAAATTGCATTTACACAGTACCTTTCACATCAGGAGGATGTCCCAAGCCACTGGACAGTCGAGGGTTTCATTCCATTTCTAACAATAATAATAATAATAATAATCCTTGGATTTGATATAGCACTTTTCACGTCGGGAGGACGTCCCAAAGCGCTTCACAGAACACACTGTAAAGTGAATTGACTGTATATTTGTGGGCGAACGCAGCAGCCAATTGCGCACAGCAATGTCCCACAAACAGTCGTAGATTGAAAATGACCAATTTATTATTGNTTTTTTTGGAGGGATTATTATTAGCCTCTGTGTGGAGTAAGGAAACTTGCCCAAGGTTTCGCTCTGCCTAGAATCGAACTCAGGTCTCTCACTTGCAAAGCGAGTGCTCTAACCACTGAGCTACAGGACTCCACAATCTATCTCTAGAATTTCCATGTGAAGGTGGGATGCATGGAATTCTCAGTTTGGTTTGGATACTCTTAAGCAAGGTGATGGGTTTCCGCATGTGTCAGACACCCGGCTGACCAGATAAAAAAAATAGAAAAGTGAACCAATGTTTTAATGACAACTCATACTTCATTCCCCCAGATATCGGAGCCCTTTCGGGACTATGGATGGACTTTGCAGTCCAATCCCAGGCAAGCCGAAGGCAGAGAGTACAAACAACAGCTGATAAACTATTTACAACAGGTGACACTTGCACTTCAGTACCTACACTCGTTGAGGATCATCCACTGTGACCTTCACTGCAGCTACGTCTTTGTCAATATTGTCACGGTACGTTGACCCCTGTGTTATGTTCAGAGGGCGACAAATAATGGGCGGCTTTGAGAGCTATAACAGTCTTATTAGCAAAACTATATCGGTGACCGTTCAATCATTGTGTCTGAACTCTAATCCCATTTCCTGCTTTCTCCCCATTGTGTCTGTACTGACGCTTGTTCCCCTAATGGATCTCTCTACTCAAACCCCATTCCCTGCTCTCTCCCCATCATGTCTGTGCTGGTGCTCGCTCCCCCACTGGTGCTCTCTACTCTAATCCCATTCCCTTCGATTACCCAAATGTACCCATTCTGGTACTCGCTCCCCCACTGGGTTTGCCACACAAGGCAGTGCAGGAGCTGCCTGCTAAATAGCTGCCATGTTCTTCCAGAACCGAGTGAAGCTGGGACGGTTTGGCCGAGCTGCTTACCTGCAGGGCACAATATCAGACAACATGTTCAATCCACATGTTTACAAAGTGGCGCCGAAGAATTCACTACAACGGTGAGTGTAAAGTTTCCAAACCAACACCCTAGAACCAACATTTTGTTCTCAGTGACGCAGGGGTGAAGCCTCCACTCCTCACACGCACTATGGTGTCTCACTCTCCGGAATCAGGTAATATTAATAATAATAATTCTGGCATTTGTTGTAGTGCCTTATCATGTCGTTGAGACTTCTCAAAGCACATATAATATCTGTAAAGTGAATTGACTGTATATTTTGTGGGCGAAACGTGGCAGCCAATTGCGTACAGCAGTCCCACAAACAGTCTTGGATTGAGTTACCACATTTTATTTGGAGGGATTATTACCCCGGAAAGCAATCTGCCAATCAACTAACAACAAGGTTCCTATCTACTGCTAGGTAAAACAGTGGCGTGTTGAGTAAGGAAACCTGCCTGAGGTTTCACTCTGCCCGGGTATCTAACCTGGGTCCTCTCGCTTGCAGGGCGTGTGCAATAACCATTACACTATAAACAGAGTGCGTCCCTCCAGGCAGAGAAGTGTGCATTCAATTCAGGACAGGGGGATGTCCCTGTGTATTTGACCAGGATACCCACATTGTCTGACCGTAATTTTTTTCCCCGCCTCCTTGGGCCATTCGTTCATCATGTTCATCGTCCTCTGTGCAGAGATTTCAATCTGACCAGCCTGCTCACCTCTTATCTGCAGTAGAACAACAACAAATTACATTTTATAGCGCCTTTCACATCAGGAGTATGTCCCAAGGCTTGAACAGTCAGGGATTTAAACCTGAACTGGGAGTTTGATCAGCAAAGGGAAGGTAAGAGTAGGATGGTGACCAAAGGCACGGTCGAAGAGGAGGGTCTTGAGATAGGTCTTTAAGGAGGCAAGGGAGGGAGCAAGCAAAGGGACTGTGAGATGGAATGGGTGTAGAGAGGCTGAAGGCTCAACCGCTGAAGGTGGAGCGAATCGGGTGGGGGACCTGGAGAACCCGGAGCATCTGAGCAGAGAGGTCTGTATGGAGTTAGCAGTTCACAGAGGTAGGGAGGAGCAAGGCTCTACAAATTTGCACACAGGAGAAGGCCATTTGGTCCATCATATCTGTGCTGGTTCTTTAAAGAGCAATTCTTTGAGTCCCACTTACCCGCCATTTCCCCATACCCCTTGCCCATTACACTGGGCTGTTTCTATTGCCATCCAAGTGAAACAGATGTCATTATTGTTACAGATGTCCCCCCGAGGTTGAACAACTGGGAAAATATTCGAGAGCCTCTGACATTTTCATGTTAGCAGATTTGATCTCAGATGCCCTGATCCCTGAGGTAAGATCGAACAGCAGTGCGAGTGCCATTGGCCCTGACACCAGCATCAGTGGCTTATCCCTGCCCGCTGGTAGATCATCTGTACCTCAGACCTGTTGCCCCAGCTGAGGTCAGCACTCACAACACAGACATTGGTGTATGTTAACTCACACGAGGAATTTGTTAAACAACGTCGCAAATTTGCCCCGAGAATGGCCTTGGTGCAGTTCACTTGGGCTTGAACCCGGAACCTTTTGACTCAGAGACGAGAATGCGACTGACCGACCGGCTGAGCCAGGCGGACATTTGTCTTGTATGCAGGTGACAATAACTGGACCTTTTGATCGCGACCTTTCAAATCCCACCTGAAGACCTACCTCTTCAACTGTGCCTATGAGTACCTCCTCTCCAACTCTGTACAGTGCTCCGAGACGCTGTCCTGTGCAAAGGGTGGTGGTTGTTGCACCTTTGTGAGGTTTCTCTTTATGGTTATTTTTCAGAAATGGGTCCATGGAGCAATCAGTCCTCTTCAAATAGATCAACAGTTGCTTGATTGCTTGGAGAAGTGCAGAAGCCAGAACCCATCAAGAAGATTGAAAATTGACTCCATCCTCACTGCATTGCAGGATTTCAAGATAAGGTAGGTTCATGTCTGAATTGTCATTGTTTCTTTTTTTTCCCCTTCTTCCTCTCTTGTCTGGTAAAGTTGCATTTGTTCTGCTCCCTCTGGTATATCAGCCAACAAGCAGTTCTTTGTGAGCTGGGGAATGGGATTAGCGTAGATAGCTCCAGTGGGGAGTGAGCACTAGCACAGACATGATAGGGAAAGAGTAGGAGAATGGAATTAGAATAGAGAGCTCCAGTGGGGAGTGAGCACCAACATGAGGTGGGGCAGGGAGGGGGAAAGCAGGGAAATGGGATTAGGTTCTGAGCCGGATTCTAATCATTATTATTACGATAATGGGCCAAAAGTCCTCAATTGTGGGTGGGAAAATGCTCCACTGGTTCGATAAGATATTTGAAAGGAATAATTTGTACCTCTGTTGACCAGGTCGCTGATGAAATGTGATTTACCTTTCCCGATACCTGTTCAACTACACTCTACAAGCGACAAAACTTACGTGGAGGGAGAGGTCGACCAGTTCCTTCCACCCTCCAACTCGCACTACATGAGCATCATGCATGACTCTGAGGAGGAAGAAGACCTTTATTATAGCATTGCCTATAACCCGGACTATATGAATGACTCAGTGCAACCCCAGGTGGGTGATGAGTCTGTGTATCAATGTCACCAGCCGTACAGCGAGGATATCTATGAGGATATCAACTGCAGGTGGGAGAAAGTGGTGACAGAATATCGGAACGAGAACAGGTTAATTTCCCCCGACTCTGACTCTCAGCCACCCTCATTCACACCGCTCTGCGGTTACCAGGATGTGGGTATTGATAGAAAGAACAGGCCAAAATAGATGGTCCTCGCTGTATCCGTGTTGAGTCCTATAGCTTAGATGTTAATGCGCTTGCCTCGAGAGGACCCATGTTCGTTTCCCAGGCAGGGCAAAAACTTAGGCAAGTTTCCTTACTCCACATGCTTCTGTTCACCCAACAGTAAGTAGGAACCTGGTTGTTAATCAATCGGTTATTGGTCACTCAATCCACAACTGTTTGTGGGACATTGCTGTGCACAATTGGCTGCTGCATTTTGCCCACAAAAGACACAGTTACTCCTTTACAGGGTGAACTGTGAAGGGTTTTGAGATGTCTCACAATGTAATATGGTGCTATATCAAATGCAAGGATTATTATTATTAACCATAATTATTATATTATTGTTGTTGTTGAGGGTCTCAGGAATGTAGGAGTGTGCGTCCGTCACTCACTGGTGTCATTTTAAATCTCATCCAACACACTCAACCATCCCCCACCCAGATCTTTCTCACTCCCGTTCACCAACAAAAATCCATACAGTTCCTTTTCGAAACTGCCTGCATTATTTGGATCCACTGCCTGCCCGCGCAAACTGTCCCGCAAGTCAACCTACTAATCAAGTCAAGATACTAATAATAATCTTTGCATTTGGCAGCTTAAAGCACTTCGCATGATTTACTGTGAAGTGTATTGACTGTATTTTGTATGCTAACAGCAGCTAATTTTATCTGGTGGAATGTCGGCCAGGACACCGGGAGAAACTCGATTCTCTTTTCCAATATCACCAAATCTTTTAACGTCCACCTGAACTGTCAGGCACAAACCTTGGTTTAATGTCTCATTAGAAGGACAACACCTCCGAGAGTTCAACACCCCCCCCCCCCCCCCCCCCCCCCACCCAGCAATGCACTGAATGTCAGCTTAGATGAGGTTGGTCACCAACCAGTCAATCAACACTAGGCGGTGCTGTTGTATATGATCCAAAAGACAAGAGGAAGGAGCGATACAACAGCGCATTATTATTGAGTCAAATTGAAAACAAAGCCAAATGTACAAAGTATTTCATACATCTCTAAACAAAAATATAAGCTTTAGTATTTAAACTGCGGTAAATATCACTTCTTCCTCTTGTTCTGATTGAACGTGTGTAAGACACCCAATTAGCAGCAATGGGACCCTTGCCCTAGACTGTGAGCTCAAAGTCCCCGACGTGGGGCTTGAACCCACAACCTTTGACTCAGAAGTGAAGGTTAAGCATTTCACTCTAACCCCGTCTCCTCTCCCTCCCACTTCAGAGTGAGAGTTCGGCACATTGGTGAGCATCACCTGAACACTTACTGTATACAATACCTTTGCTGGAGTCTAGATCGTTCAGGATCTGGAAGGCCGGTTGATAATGAGGAACCCTGGCTGATTTTCACCCCGTATCTCAGATGCACTATGACCTATCATAGCCCCAACCTTTGCCTCTGTCTCACTCAGCACACAGGGGATAAAGCCAATCCTGGGTAACTTACCATTGATTCCTGTGCACCAGAGCTGTAAAATAAAGTCAAAGATTATTGGGAAACCGTGAAACACTTTCAGAGGCTGGATAAACATTAATACTGTATTTATATATATAGTACTTAGAGAGTACGTGTGTACGGATGAGTGTGTCTATATATGTATGCGAGTGGATATGTTGTTTATGAATGATTGGATTTGTATGTGTCATATACAGTACATAAATATGCATGTATAGAAATGTAGCCTATGTATATACGTGTAAGTATGCACGTGTGTGTGTTGTGTGTGTATGTATGTATTTAATGTGTTTGTGTGGGGGGTGCAATAAAATACAAACTAGACATTTGTTAAATACAGTACGTTTCAATGCTTCAAGTGTTTCATCAGAATCAAACAGGAATGAACTCAGGAACAAAACCTTGAACGTTGGCAAAATATGTCCCAAGGGACTTTGAACTTTAAATGCATTTAAACAAAAATCACTGACTAACCTGATTCAAAATTTCAACAAATAAGCACACATTTTGAGTTTAATTCATCTGATTTAAAATACAAAATATATTTTCTTTTTCTGTTTGTGTGTACCTGCATGTTTTTGTGTGTATCTGAGTTTAAGTGTATATATCTGCATTTGTGTCTCTGTAGCTGTATGTGCCTGTGTGTATATATACCTCTGTGTGTATATGTGTGCACACACACATCTGTGTACCTGTATATGTATCTGCCTACGGAGTTACTGACTCAAAATGTTGTGTTGCTGGTTTCTGTCTGGTCTAAACAGCTTTAATAAAAATGGAAATTTTTCCCAAGATAGATTTACTATTTCTGCAGCAATTCAAATCACGTCGTGGAGTCCCGTAGTGTAGTGGTTAGCAGGCGAGAGGACCCGGCTTCGATTCCCGGGAGGGGTGAAACCTTAGGCGAGTTTTCTAACTCCACACACCTCCGTTTATCAAGCAGTAAATTCTTTAGTGTCTCTCTCTCTCACTGCTCATTCAAACCATGACTGTTTGTGGGCCACTGATGTGCACAATTGGCTGCCTATTTACAATTTCACCCACAAAATATATAGTCAATTCACTTTACAATATATTCTGTGAAGCACTTTGAGACCTCTCAATGACGTGATATAAGGCACTATAAATGCAAGGATTATTATGATTTATGTATTATAACCACTTGTTCAAATTGAATATATAGAGTTTGGGTCTCCCTGATAACAAAGGAGAAACTCTCACGCACCCAACCCTTCCCTTTCCCCCGGTAACCAGGTCGGGGAGAGACATTTGTCAGTGTTAGGTTGAAAGGTTAATGGTTGAAAACTTGCTTAAGTTCAAATATCAATTGCATACAAACTCCAGAAACAACACGGGTGCAAAAAAAAGGAATAGGAATAGGTGGCGGCTTCAATTTAATTCACAATTTATTCCACTGGTGGCAATTGTGCCCTTCTGTACCATCTAAACAGGCAGCATAGAACAGGCCCCTACACATTTCCCTCTAATAAATAAATCCATCAAAGAAAAACAAACGTGTGCACAGAAACACAACTGCCAAGTACTGGGCGCAACCAAGTTTAACAAAGGTTTCATTCTCTCTCTCTCTACACAAGACGTGGCGGGCGAGCTCGTTCACGATCCGAGACCTTCTGATAACCTTCAGCGGAATGTTGCTGTTCGCCCACAAAACACACAGTCACTACACTTTACAATAAATCCCGTGAAGCGCTTTTGGGGCCATCCTCCCGACGTGAAAGGCGCTATATCAAAGGTAAGGATTATTATTTTTAATATTATTATTAAAACAGCTCCCAGAAAATAATAGTTTTATAAGACTAGAAAAACCCGTCTGTTTTGTGGTTTGCTCCCAACTTATTTGACGGATGTCGCCCATCTCATTTCAAAGTCTTATTTTTTTTCCTCCTTCCTTCCGTCTTTCCTTCCTTTCTTCAAGAACGGAAAAGAAGGATTTTTTCATATATATATATTTATATATAAAAAAACAGCGATTCGCAAAAACAATCGCACTTTCTGGGAAGCGGGAAGATTCCCAGTCTTTCATTTGTTTGTATTTTAAGAGATCTACATCATGGAACACAGACTTGAACAAAATCCCCCAAACAGGAAAAAAAACAGCTTATTTTAAAATTTCCTACTAAAATGGCGTGTTTTCAATTTTTTTTACACACACTGTGTGTGGCTTTGTGTGGCTCTCCTTCTCTTAAGTGTCTCTCTCTCTCACCATGTGCATCTCTCTCAGGCTCTCTCTCTCCCTTTCTATCTTTCTTTTTCTCTCTCTCCCTCCCTTTCTCTCTGTGATTCTCTCTCGCTCTGGGTGCATCTCTCTCTTTCTCTCAGTCTTCCTTTCTTTGTCACTCTCAGAATCCATCCAGCAGCTTATGTGTGGATGTGAGTGTGTGGGGAGGGGGATTGGGACAGCTCACTGGGTTTTGCATTACTTTTAGTTCTGGAGCTGGAGCCACGTGAAGCGTGATGAGCGCGGGCGGGGAAGTGGGGGGTAAGTTAGTGTCTGCGTCGGGTCCCGAAGCCCACCGTGCCTTAAAATCTCCAAAACATTCAGCACTCTGGGCCTGCTCCCCCCTTGATAGCGGGCTGCGATCCAGCCTCCGGCACAAAGTCGGCAAGTGTGGAGTCCCTGCAGAGACTCTGTAAACTTTTTAGACGCTCAGAATTTCCAAGTCACAATCCTCAGGCTCCGTGCAGTACAGAGAGTTAGTCTCCGAGTGGTTGACCGCTATAACCTCCTTGTTCTCAAAGGTCTGTTCGATCAGTGCAGGTTTTTCCAATATATTCTTTTTGCTGGTTTCTGGGCAGTTCTGGACGTAAATGACTCTGTTATAAGCCTTCAGTCTCTTCCACAGCTGCACATAAACCTTACACTGCACATACATGAAGACAACTCCACCTGTGAAGCCAATAGCCACCACTATCAGCTTGGTCCAGAAAGGCCATTCCAGGATACCTGCACAGAGAGATTAATAATAATAAACAATAATAAAATAATTATTATGTTAATAAGACTGTAATAATAATAATCCTTGCATTTGGCTGCCACGTTTCACCCACAAAATACACAGTCAATTTATTTTTCAATATATCCTGTGAAGCTCTTTGAGACATCTCAACTACATGATAAGTATATCAAACTATAAATATAAATAACTATAAGTATAAATAACTATATCAAATGCAATGATTATTATTATTATTATAACAATACAAATGCAAGTTGTTATTGTTGTCCCACATGCAGGGGTTTCGATGTACTTGGCTGTATCGGATGTGAGGATTATTTGTACTTTTAATGCAACTGCACCCACCGCTGGTTTGGCCTTGTTTCACCTCCTCGGCTGTCCTGTCGATCAGAACGTACAGGGACCACACCACACAGGTGATGGCGATAATGTGGAACGTCACTGAGCACATGATCTTCCTCCTCTCGCTCGCCGTCATTTGTAACTTCTCCCACTGAGGACATAAGAGAGCCAGAGTCACGTCTCACCCTGTCACAACCACAGCTGCCCCAGCTTCCCAAACCCGCTTGGCTCAGGAACTGGAAGAAAGATGATTCCGATAGCCCATTGCCAAGTACGACACCAGCTCAGCTCTAAGGAGACCCCACTTACTTAACCCTCCCATTCAAGGGTAGTCTGAGGAGAATGGTCAAAACATGCAGGTGGGACCTCAGGTAAACAGTCGCACAAATTTGCCAGCTCAGGCGTAGCCTGGCGAGCCCCCCCCATCACCCCCACCCCTCCCCTGGGTTCAGGTACGTACTTTCCGCAGGGGTTTTAGTTTGGTCTCCATGATGAACTCATACTTGCAGAGCTCGCAGCACCGGGTGTCTGAGCTCTTGATCCACTGTTGGAGGCAGGCTTGGTGGACGAAGCGCAGGCTCCCCGTGCAGTGACACGGAGTGATGAGCGGACCCTCTTCATCACCCTCGCAGTGGCAGATCCTTGGGCACAGAGAAGAGCAGGTCAGCAGGAAATGCCTGGCAACCACACTTACACAAACAGACACACATACACACAGTGCCTGGCAACCAGACACACACAGCACGCGGCAACCACACACAGCGCCCAGCAACAATACACACACACAGCTCCCGGCAACAACACAACAACTTGGATTTATATAGCGCCCTCCACGCTGGACGGCGTCTCAGAGCGCTCTCAATGCCTCGAAACAACACACACACACACACAGATAGTGCCCAATAACTACACACACACACACAGACACACACAAACACAGTGCCAAGCAACTACACACATAGCCACAACAAGCACAAACAGTGCCTGGCAATGTCACAGTAACTGCACCACAGTAACGAGCTGTACTTGGCTCTCTGTCTAGTCTGTCTGTCTGACAGTCACTACAGCTGGGAGGGATCAGGCGGGCATTGGAGAGGCTGGAGAAAGAGGGTGGGATTGATTCCAAAGAGGCCACTAACACAAACACTGAGAGAGAGTGAGAGTGAGTGAATGAGAGAGTGAGAGTGTGTGTGTGTGAGTGAGTGAATGAGAGTGAGTGTGAGTGAGTGAGAGAGTGAGTGAGTGTAAGAGAGTGACTGAGAGAGTGAATGAGAGTGAGTGAGTGAATGAGAGAGAGAGTGAGTGAATGAGAGAGAGTGAATGAATGAGAGTGAGTGAGTGAAAGTGAGTGAGAGAGTAAGAGAGTGAGTGAGAGAGTGAGTGAGTGAATGAGAGAGTGAGTGAATGAATGAGAGAATGAGTGAGTGAGTGAATGAGAGTGAATGAGTGAGTGAGTGAGTGAAAGTGAGAGTGAGTGAGTGAGTGAGTGAGTGCCACTCTCTGAACCGACCTGCACACATCCCAGGACGGAGACTGAGGGGAATACGAGCATTTCTCAGACACCGGCGAAGGGCTCCTCAGATCACTGTCCCTTTCGAAGGAGCAGAGGGGCGCTCGCCGGCTGCCCGGGCCCGGCCCAGGCCCCACCCCAGGCCCAGGCCCCACCCCAGCCCCAGGCCCGGGGCCCGGCCCGCGCTCAGCCTCGGGGGGGACATCTTCCTCGAAGACGTCGTCGTCACCTACGTCGTCGTCGTACACGTCACCGCCGTCGCCCAGGCCCTCGGAGCAGTAGGAGGCGCTGTGACGCAGTTGCAGCAGCGGACTGCTGGAGCCGCGGGCGGCCTGGCGGGGTCGCTGTGGCGGGCGGGCAGCGCGCTCCGAGATCCTCTGCAGCGCCCCGTAGCTCAAATGGCGGGAAGAGGAGAAGGTCGCCGTCGTGGACGACGACGAGAGGAAGAGACGGTACAGACACGGCGCTCGCTCCCCGCCTCCCTCGGCGCAGCCCGGAGCCCTGAGGCCTCGCTGCTCTCTGCGTTTGTCGCGCTGCTGCGGCGGCGGCGGCTGAGGCGGTCTGTTACTGCTGCTGCTCTGCTCCAACCGCCCCTCCGAGCAGGTCCGGTCGACGTAGCCTCCGCCGCCCAGACCCAGGCCCAGGCCCGGGCCCGAGCCGCGGGGCCGTCCCGTCGTCTTCGCCCCCATGTCGTTCAGGGACACCGAGTGCGTCACCATCCCGCCTCGGCTCCCGGGCCGCAGGACGGCCGCCAGCCCCCGGCCCGGGGGCGTCGTCGATCTCTGCTGAGCGGCGAGGGTCACGCGCAGGGCCCGAGGCTGGGCCTGGGGTCTGCTCCCGGAGGTCTGCTGCGAGGCGGCAACCGGGCGCTGCACCCGACCGGGCGGAGGCCCCGGCACCGCGCACTCGGGAAGGACCGCGGTAGAACTGCATCCCGGAGAGAGTGGGGAAGAGGACAGAGGGGGAAGAGGGAAAGGACAGAGGGAGAAGAGGGAAAGGACAGAGGGAGAAGAGGGAAGAGGACAGAGGGAGAAGAGGGAGAAGAGGGAAAGGACAGAGGGAGAAGAGGGAAGAGGACAGAGGGAGAAGAGGGAAAGGACAGAGGGAAGAGGACAGAGGGAAAAGAGGGAGAAGAGGGAAAGGACAGAGGGAGAAGAGGGAAGAGGACAGAGGAGAAGAGGAAAGAGGGAAAGGACAGAGGGAAGAAGAGGGAAGAGGACAGAGGGAGAAGAGGGAAAGGACAGAGGGAAGAGGACAGAGGGAAAAGAGGGAAGAGGACAGAGGGAGAAGAGGGAATAGGACAGAGGGGGAAGAGGACAGAGGGAGAAGAGGGAAGAGGACAGAGGGAGAAGAGGGAAGAGGACAAAGGAGAAGAGGGAAGAGGACAGAGGGGAAGAGGACAGAGGGAGAAGAGGGAAGAGGACAGAGGGAGAAGAGGACAGAGGGAAAAGAGGGAAGAGGACAGAGGGAGAAGAGGGAAAGGAATAAAGAAGAGAGAAAAGGGACGGGACCAGGAGATAAGAGAGAAGGAAAGAGGACAGAGAGCGAGTGAGAGAGAGAGAGGAAAAAAAGGAGAGGGAGGAGACAAATTAAAAGGAAATGTAGGAGAGAAATGGAGAGAGAGAGAGAAAAAAAAGAAAACGTAAAACAAAACTCTGGTAGCGCGGCACTCTCAGCCCGGCAGCCGGTCGCTGGCACGGGCGCAGCCGGTTTCACGCTCGCTCAGGAGTCGGAAGGTTGTGGGTTCAAGTGCCACATTGGGACTTGTCGTCGCATCGTCTGAGATGGCACTCGATGCGGTGCCGGGGGGGGGTGCGTTGAATTGCCAAAAGAGTTGCCGTCCTTCAGATGAGACGTTAAGTCGTAGCCCCGTCTGTCTGTTCCGGTGGACGTTAAAGATCCCGTGTCACTATTTGGAAAGAGTAGGGTGTTTCTCTCTCTCTCTCTCTCTCTCTCTCTCCCCGGTGTCTTGGCCAACAATTCCCCCAAAATGAAACAGGTCACTCGCTCCATGACTGTTTGTGGGGCTTTGCTGTGCACAAACTGGCTGCCGCGGTTCGCCCACAAAATACAGTCACTCCACTTTACAGTGTATCCTGTGAAGCGCTTTGAGACGTTTCGACGACGTGGTTAGGCGCTATATCAAAAGCAAGGATTATTAATATATATTTATTGTAATATGTGAATGGGACACCGCATGGTTAGATGTTGAGCAAGTAGGAAGGATTGGACAACTCAGAAACCATGGCCCATTCTCTCTCTCACCTTCCTCCTTCTCCAGGACACTCCAAACCACACTGGGGTAAGGCTCTGCCGCAACCTGTCAACCCGTAGTCTATTGGCTAGTCATCGTGTGTGAGCCGAGACAGTGAGTGCTGGGACTCTTCAACCATGAACCACATCATTGGTTGAACCAGATCTTGCCCCTACAACATAGGGTGACCATACGTCCTTGATTTCTGGGGACAATCCTCGGATGAGGTATTAATTCCCTGGGGCTAAATTTGCCCTGTGTTGGAGTTCAGCAACAAACCGAGCAACAACAATAACATTCTAAAACAGACACACTCGTAAGAGAGTCACAGCCATTAATCCGACACACTTCTCCAGTATTGTACTGCCAGCATCAGCTATTGTCGTGAGTTCAATAGCTTTTTTTTTGTGTGTCCCTGGATTTGTTTTGCAAAATATGGTCACCCCATAAATGTGTGCATTGGGGTGAGAATGGGAGTGAGGGTCACTGATCATGAGCAGGAATCTTGGACAATTCTAGCCTCTCTACAACCAAGAGGCGCTGGTTGAGATCCATTGTAGCCCCCACCACCCACCACCTAATGAGAGCCTTTTACTGAGATCTGCTAACCCAACATCAGACCTTTTCTGTATTCTCAGATCCACACTGTGAGGCGAGCTCACTCCACGAGGCATGACCCAAACCTTCATCAATTTCAGTGCCCAACTCAACCATTACCTCAGACCAGGAGGTGTTTTTGAGTGAAGGATGGAGTTACCTGCAGATGTCCTGGTTTGAAGGGCTGACCGATATCCGTGAGAAGGTGCGAGGCGCTGTCACCGATGTCGGGCTGCCCAGCTGCCGACAACCAAAGAAGTCACATTAGTAAACTACCGCAAGAACATTCAACCGGGGCAACCCTGTCCAGCAAAAACCAGGAGCACCGTCTCACCCGCCTATTTCGACACTCAAGAACATCTGCCTCGAATTGATTCCGCCGAGCACCACTTTGATCCAGTTTATGGATCCGAAACCTGAAGCACTACAGCAAGGAACTACGAAAGTGCCTCATGGACACCAACATCATCAGCACCCAAGTGACACTGGCACCACATCACTCTGCTTGATGTCATTGGCAAGGTTGCCAGGGGCTGGGAGAGCCTGAAGCTGCGACGATATCCAACTGTTTCCGCAAGGCTGCTCCCTGCACTGAGGCTGATGAGACGCCAAGCACGGAGGTCGATGGTGAGAGCCAGATCACTGACGAGTTCCTGGACGTCAACATTGATCTGCTCTGCCATGCTCCAGAGGATAACAAAGGCAGTGTCATTGAAGCTGTGGCCTCCGAGTGCCCGCAAGACAGCCTCCGATGACAATGATGCCCCGGCCTTAACAGCGAGCACAGCACTGTCTGGTCCACGAGGTGCAGAACGCTTTTTGTTAAACGGACTTCATGAAAAGTGTAACACATTTCCAGAAATTGTTGCGAGCATTAGAAAGATACGTTATGCTAATCTTGTGCAGTCTGATATAAGATTTTTTTAAAATAAAAGGTTTAAATTTGTGTAACTTAGGATTTTGTATAATCAGTTTTTCCACTTTACTGTGAATAGTTGTTTATAAAGAGAGAATCACCAGTGGACCCTTCCTGCTCTCAAACTACCACCCCACCTCCAACCTCTCTTTCCTCTCCAAATTCCTGGACCGAGAGTCATTGCTTGCCAGCTTCGCTTCTTCCTGTCCCGCCACTCCTTTCATGAACCCTTCCAATCCTCTCACACGCAGAAATAGCCCTGGTCAAAGTGATAAATGACATTCTGTCCATCTGTGACCAGGGCTCCCTCTGCCTCCTCGTCCTCCTTGACCTCTGTTGCCTTCAACACCGTTGACCACTCTATCCTCATCCACCGCCTCTCCTCTCACCTCAACCTTCACGGATCTGTCCTTGAATGATTCAGGTTGTACCTCTCAACATTTCCACTTCATCTCCACAAATGGATTCTTCTCTAGCCCCCATACCGTCTCATGTGGCGTTCTATGCCTTGACCCGCTCTGCCATCCCCCACCTCCACAACATCACCCAGCTCCGCCACTCTTTCACAGCGCAGGCCGCCAAAACTCTCATACACGTATTCAAGCCTCGACTATGCAAACTCCTTGGTTGTTGGCCTCCCCAGGACTCTGCAGCCCGTCTCCCGCACCAGGCTCCGTAATCCTATCAACCCCATCCTCGCCCGACTTCACTGGCTTCCCATCACTCAGAGGATACAGTTCAAGATCCTGGTCTTCACCTTCAAAGCCCTCCATGGCCTTGCTCCACCCCATATCTCTGCGACCTCTTAACCCCCTACCATCCTGCCCGCTCCCTCTGCTCAGCTGGCTCCAGCCTGCTTCATGTCCCACGCCTTGCCTGCCCCACCATTGGCGGGTGGGCCTTCTGTCACTCTGCCCCTACCTTCAGGAACACTATCCCGTAGTCCCTCTGCCTTGCCCCCTCGCTTGCCTCCTTCAAGACCCATCTCAAGACCCTCCTCTTCAATCATGCTTTCAATCACCCTGCTTCCCCCCTGCCCTCCACCCTCCCCAATCCCGCCCCAGCTCGGTCCGAAACACTGACTGTCCAGCGCCTTGGGACATCCTCCTATAGGCGCTATACAAATGTAATTTTATTTTTGTTGTTGTAACCTTATTGATATGGGACGGGAGAACTTTGGTTATCGGACGCTGGGTACATCGGACAAAACTCCCTGACTCGATGCATCCGGCTACAGCAGATTCCACTGTATTTTAGTTACAATGCAAATGTGGACACATCAAGTTAATTTTTATCTATTAAAAACCAAGATATCTATTACCATTTATCTATTACCAAAACCCAAGATATCAACTCAGCATACAGAGGCCCCTACAGAGAAAGTGCTCAACAAAACCAAAACAGATTAATCCATGATTGCAAAACTAACAAAGGGACAATGGGTTTTCCATTACTTTCCACGAACAAGTAATCCACTTCCCGCTGACACTGAAATCCTCTATTTTCCACAGCTACCCTGCGATTCTTACTGAGACACAAGAGTTCTGTAGTTTTTGAATTGCAAAATATGCACCAATACCATTTTAAAATACTGCTCAGTGCCTCCCTTCCTCTCGCTCATGAGGTTGTACGAGGCAGCACGTAGAGTAACAGGAACAGGGGTGAAGCGGGCGGTATGTGTTGTACCTCATATATGACTGCCTGGATGTGGTATTGGAATGTCAGCACAGAAAGAGGCTGCATATGGACAACAACTTACACTTATATAGCGCCCCTCACCCAGGGCAGTGTCCTAGAAAGCTTACACCTGGAATGTCAGCCTAAAACCACCCTGTGTCTAGGCCTCTCATTGTCGGAGGTGCCGTTCTTCAAATAGACGTTAAACCGAGGTTGTGGCTGTGCCTGTTTAGGTGGACTTTAAAGATCCCATTCGAAAAGAGAAGGGAGTTTCTCTCTCCGGTATCTTGGCTAAAAATCCCTGGAGAAAAATCAGTCATTCGCATCATGGCTGTTTGTGGGGCATTGCTGCGTGCAAATCGGCTAAAAAAAATCACAGTCACCACATTTGTCAGTAAATACTGCAAAACGTTTTAAAGACATCCTCTTGATGTGAAAGTATCAAGTATAAGTTGAAGGCAAAATACTGCCGATGCTGGAAATCCTAAATAAAACCAGAAGTCGCTGGGAACACTTCAGGAAGCATCTATGAAGAGAGGATCTTCTCTTTGATCTTTAGATGCTGCCTGACCTGCTGTGCGTTCCTGGCAACTTCTGATTTTATTTCAAGTGTTTAAGCTGAGTGCCCATTCTCATTGCAATAGCTCCCTTCGGTGGCCTGGTGGTTAATACCATTGCTCAGCGTCACACTGATCTCAGTCTCAAGGCCTTGCATGCGTAGAACTCCGAACTTTGCAGCTTGTGTTCTCTCCCACACCTATCACCACTGTTCTTGCCCGACTTCATTGGCTCCCCATTCCTCAGGGAATCGAGTATAAAATCCTCGTTTTTACCTTCAAGGCACTCCACGGTCCTGCTCTCCCCTACCTCTCCGATCTCATAAACCCATATCAGCCAGTCTTCAAGTGCGACGTGAAGACGGTCAAAGAGAAGTTGCTGTTTTCTCTCTTATTCCTGGTGTCTCTCCACTGAATTGTGGACAGGGTCAGATTTGACTGCGGTGATTAACCACACCTCACTTCCACCCGAATCCTACCCAGGGATATATAATTTGCATTTGATACAGCGCCTTTCATGTCAGGAGGACGACTCAGATTGCTTCACAGGATTTCCTGGAAAGTGTAGCAACTGTGTATTTGTATATGAAATCTGCAGCCAATTTGCACACAGCAACGTCCCTCAAACAGCCATGAATTGAATATCCGATTTTATCTGGTGGATTTGTGGCCAGGATACCGGGAGAAACTCCTTTCTCTTTTCCAATTGTGCAGACTGGACCTCAGTTTAACGGTTCATCCGAAAGACGACATCTCCGACAGCGCAGTGCTCCCCCAGCACAGTATGTTTGATCTCATTAAGAGGAAGTGATGGGATCTCCCACTAAACAACAAATTACATTTGTATCACGTCTTTTGCATCAGGAGGACCACCCTCACACACACACAGTCAAGTTACTCATTGTAACTTCTCTCACAAGCTGTCATTTCGACCAGTACTTCGAAGGCTCAAAGAACTCGTATGTTTACATCATGGTGCAGCACCATTTTAATAATAACCCTCACATTTGTTACGGCACCTATAATTCTGAAACGTCTCATAGCTCTTCTGGATAATTGCTGTAAAGTGGAGTGACTGTATTGGTAGGCAAAAGAGGCAGCAAATTTGCACACAGTGACATACTACAAACAACCATGGAGTGAATGATCAATTTTACCTGGGAGATTGTTGGCCCGGACACAGAGAAAGAGAGAGAGAGAGAGCAACTCACTTCTCATTTCGAACAGTGCCACAATATCATTAATGTCCTCCTGAACAGGCAGACAGGACCTCAGTTTAAAGTTTCAACCCAAAGGATGGCACCTCCGACAATGCAGGGCTCCCTCAGCACTGCGCTGGAGAATCACGACCTGACTGCGTTGGAAATTCAGGACGTACCTTTGATATGTTGCTGGATCGGCTTGACGAATGGCCCAGAGGTTTTTCATTCTGCAACAAAAGGACAAAAAGCATTATTGACCCCGACTGAAAACAACTATAAAATGTGAGTCGCGAAACTCAGGACCCCTGCACAAATTCAAGACACAGAAAAGAACGGAAAGGGAAGTTATAGCAGAGGTTTCTGTACGGGACATCATCTCCATGATAAGTGTATCTCCTGAAGCTGTTCTGAATCCAAGCTGTTCACAATGATCCCAGTCAAAGCCCTCCACGGTCTTGCTCCTGCCCACCTCTGTGACCTATTAAACCTTCACCAACGCGCCAGCTCCCTCTGCTCTGCAGGCACTGCCCTGCCCCACTTTCCCCTCCCTGCCCGGTTTGTGGGACACTGTTGTGTGCAATTGCCTCCTGCTTTTCACCCACAAAATACAGTCAATCCACTTTACAATGCATTCTGTGAAGCGCTTTGGGACGTCTCAACAACGTGATGAGGCGCTATGCAAGGATTTCAAGAATTATTATTGTTTTAAATGCAAGTTGTCGTTGCTGTTGTAAAGTGACTAATTTCACTAACACAGAAACAACACAGTCACAAGTCTGACTCCCCCAATATAGAGGTTTGTTGATCACTTTGTATAAAGTCAATGATTACTGAAGAGTAAAGGCAGACTGATTGGAAGGAGAGACAAACAGAAAGCCTTGTTTAACGAGGTCACAAGTCTCTCCCTCCCTCTCTATCTTTCTCTGGACAAGGCCTCTGCTGGGTGATCAGATACCGAACTTCGCAACATGGAATTTGAGCTCAGAGATACATCTGATACCCACGTCCTTCTCTCTCTCACAGTGAATAACGAAAATACCCGTACTCTGCATCTCTCTCAGAGTCCAGATCCTAGCATTACGCAGGCAGGTTGATGGGATTATTAATATTAATACTTTCACCCATAAAATATACAGTAATCCACTTTCCAATAGAGAGTTGTTAGTCGATTGGCAGGTCGCTTTCCGGGATAATAATCCCTTAAAAAAACGAATAATAATTTGGTCACTCAATCCACAACCGTTTGTGAGACACTGCTGTGCGCATTTTGTTTCGCCCACAAAATACAAAGTTGATCCACTTTACAGTATATTCTGTGGCTGGGATTGACTGCATGATGACTTAAGGGTTCATGACAAGTTAAGGCGGGGTCAAGTTATCAGGAGTTTCCTATATTGTTATTAATAATAATAATTCTTGCATTTTATCACGTCAGGAGGACGTCACAGGATTTACTGTAAAGTATATTTTGTAGATGAATGTGGCAGCTAATTCATGCAGAGCAATAATAATACTAATCCTTGCATTTGATAAAGCATTTTATCACATCATTGAGTGGTTAGAGCACTCGCATTGCAAGCGAGAGACCTGAGTTCAATTCCAGGCAGGGCGAAACCTTGGGCAAGTTTCCTTACTCCATACGCCTAATAATAATCCCTCCAAAATAACAACACAATAATAAATTGGTCATTTTCAATCCATGACTGTTTGTGGGACATTGCTGTGCGCAATTGGCTGCCGCGTTCGCCCACAAATATACAGTCAATTCACTTTACAGTGTGTTCTGTGAAGCGCTTTGGGACGTCCTCCCGACGTGAAAAGCGCTATATCAAATGCAAGGATTATTATTATTATTATTATCTCAACGAGCTTCACAGTATACACTGTAAAGTGCAGTAACTATGTATTTTGTGGCCGAAACACATCTGCCAGGTTGCGTACAACAGTGTCCCACAAAAACTCGGCATCAAGTGAATGATCAATTTTATCTGTTGACCAGGACACCAGTAGAGAGAAACTCCCTTCTCTTTTCAAACAGTTGGAAGGTGGAATTGTTAACTTCCACCTGAACAGATAAAAGGATTATTATTTTTATTATTATTATTAATTATTGCAAGCCCTATCAGCAGGGTTTATATGAACAACCAATTAATGTGGAGCGCTGCTCAGCTTTGATTGACTCTGAAGATGCAGAGCTTATTTTCTGAGGTCCTGTTTCTCACCGGGCACTATGTAGCTGCAGAAATAGGAGGCTATATTCCTGTCATCTCCCCTAAGCCCATCTCCCCACCTACCCACAACACCGCAGTGTGTTGATTCTCAGCACAGTTCATTAAAAGAGTAAATCGTGTCCAATTAAATAAACTGACCTGCACAGTCTGTCTTAGACTGTGGGTGACATATGGAGACTTAATCATGAGGGTGGTCCAAGCTGGACAGCAGCAGGAAAGCTTGCCAGACAGTGCTCTCAACAGCAAGCTATGCTGTTTTAGCTGGTTAGACCCCAGCAGTTACCCCAACACACACTCTGGGATCCCTCAAGCCTTGGCTCTTGCCAACCTGCACCTAATACTTTCCGAAATTCAGTAAACAGTGAGAGAGTGCACATTCCGTTCCAATAAATATCTCTGTAAATCTCTCCCTCAATCCCTCCATCTTGTCCCCTCCTTTCCCTCTTTTAGATCACAATTGAAGATCTTCCTCTTTTACCATGCTTGCGGTCACCTTCCTCCCCCCAGCTCAGTGTCAGCCTCTGTGCCACTGTTAAGCACTCCGAGACACTGCCCTATGTGAAGGGCGCTTTATAAATGCAAACTGTTGCTGTTGTTGAACTTCCATGTGTTGGTGGCATGTATGGAACTCTCAGTTGGTTTTGGATACTCTTAAGCATGGTGATGGGTTTCCACGTGTGTCAGACGCCCGGCTGACAAATCACATATGGAGACTAACTGAGCACCTCAGTGTGATCAGTTGTCGAGGGTGTCCCACACAGTCACTGCTCTCGAGCTCAACCCCTCCAGCTCAGTGCTGGACAGTTTGGATGACACTGCTAACCACAGATAAGTTAATGATCTACAGACAAGTTAGGTTCAGTATTAATATTACTCTAGTAACAATACTACACATTAGATAGTATCCACAGAACGACAATGCAGGTGGGTAATAGTCGTTAGATCTATACTAGCAGGAATGAGAGGCAGAGTTGAGCTGACTCTGGTGTTTTAGTAACAACAACTTGCATTTATGTAGCTCCCTTCATGCGGGGTAGCGTCCTGGAGCGCTTGACAGTGGCGGAGTCTGATCCCAAGCCAGGGGGAGAGGGGAGGTGACCGTAAGCATGATCATAGGATCACCTCGTGGATTTGCTTCCTGGCTCCACAGTCCCTTCAGTAACAGTGATCAGCCTAGGGGCGTTAAGACCAGTCTCAAGACCCTCCTCTTAGACCGTGCCTTCAGTCACCCTCCTTTTCCCCTGCCTTCCAACCTCCCCGATCCCGACCCCCAGTTCAGGTCCGAACACTGACTGTCCAACACCTCGGGACGTCCTACAAACGTGAAAGGCGCTATAAAAATGTAATTTTTTTGTTGTTAACCATTGGGGACAAGGTCTTGGTCGGTGCTGGGCACTAACAGGTTAACAGCTCATCACCAGGTTCCCAGTCTGTGGCCAGTCACAGTGATCTCAGTAAGTAACCCCCTTCGGATTAAGACTCCGTACATCACGTGGGAATAATCTGCCAAAGGAGGGGGGGGTGGAGAGATTGAGTAGAAAGACAAGGAAAAGTGATTCCAGCAAGTAAACACAGAAGCAAAATACTTTCCCACAGTCCCAACCACTCCCTGGAATGGGGAGGGAACTCGGGAAAGAGACCGGGAATTTTATTTGGGAAACGGTAGAAATTGCCAGGGCCTGGTCCATGTTTTCTGGTCTCCGACCCGGACTCTCCCGCATTAGCGAGGGATTTACTCCAATCGCTCTCCAGTGTAAGCCGAAAGCTGATTATATTGTGGATAACAGCTCAGAGTCACCTCGGTAAGGAACATAGGAACAGGAGTAGACCATTCAGCCCCTCGTACCTGTTCCACCATTCTATTGGGTCATGGCTGATCTGTACCTCAACTCCATTTACCCACCTCTGCTCCGTATCCCTTGATACTTTTACTGAACAAAAATCTATACAGCTCAGTTCGGAAAACTTGAATCCACAGCCTTTTGGGGGGAGAGTTAGAGTTTTGCATTACCATTTGTGTGAAAAAGTGCTTCCTGATTTCACTCCTAAATGGCCTAGCTCTAATTTTAAGATGATGCCTCCTTGTTCTGGATTGCCCCACCAGAGGAAATAGTTTCAATGCATCTACCTCTGTATCGAATCCCTTTATTATTTTAAACACTTCAATCAGATCACCCCTCAACCTTCTAAACCCAAGGAAATACAAGCCAAGTTTATTCAACCTGTCTGCATAAATTAATAATAATCCTTGCATTTGATATAGAGCCTTATCACGTCATTGAGACGTCTCAAAGCGCTTCTCGGAATGTACTGTAAGGTGAATTGACGGTGTATTGTGTGGGCGAAACACGGCAGCCAATTGCATATAAAATTCAACCCTTTAAGCCCTGGTATCATTTTCGTGAATCTGCACTGTACCCCGTCCAGAGAAGAGAGCAGGAACAGTGCAGGGAGAGTGCTCCCAACATTGGAGCTGTCACGGACAGAGAGATCCCAACATTAGAGCTGTCACAGACAGAGAGATCCCAACATTAGAGCTGTCACAGAGAGGGAGCGAGTGAGCTCCCAACACTAGAGCAGACAGACAGAAAGCTCTCCGAACGTTTACGGAACTTACTGGAAAAATCAATGTCTCAAACTGACAATGTTCCTTTTTAACATTGGGAAAACTTATGGAATTCCCTCCTCACCTCCCCAATCCCAGCCTCTGGGGGTATCCAATTCCCAGAAACCCCACCATTCTCAGTAACATCCAGCTTCACCTAATCATAATTAATAATTGCAATTTAAAATTGATAAATTAGAATTCTATAAAGTTAAGTCATACGTTAGTCATTATAAATATTATACTGCACAGTGAGGCGTTTATTTCATATACAAACATAAATTATTATTATCGAAATAAAACTATTTAAAATCTTGGGGTGAGGTGGGAGTGTGAAGAGAGGAGAGAAGAAAAATAATAATAATTTGGTCACTCAATCCCCGACTGTTTG